GCTCTGTCCCGCTCACCCGCTCTTGTCCCCACAGCGATGGCAGCCATCAGGAAGAAACTGGTGATAGTGGGAGACGGTGCCTGTGGAAAGACGTGTCTGCTGATCGTGTTCAGCAAGGACCAGTTCCCCGAGGTCTACGTGCCCACCGTGTTCGAGAACTACATTGCCGACATAGAGGTAGACGGGAAGCAGGTAAGGGCCGTCCGGGGTGCCGGAGCTGTTCCCATCCCCTCACTCCCACGGTCCCGTGCTGGCAGTGCCACCGCCCGGCGCTGCCGCATGGGTTGGTCTCCGTGGCTCCGAATTGGGCAAGCCCCACAGCTCCGGCGTTTCTGGGTCACCCTGAAGCTGCCCCAGTTTGAGGAAGACCGTGGCTGCAATTGAGGAAGATAAACCTGCTCGCTCCTGGCCTGCTGAGCTGTGTCCTTCTCGCCTCTCAGGTGGAGCTGGCCCTGTGGGACACGGCAGGACAGGAGGACTACGACAGGCTGCGGCCCCTCTCGTACCCGGACACAGACGTTATCCTCATGTGCTTTTCTATCGACAGCCCAGATAGCCTCGGTAGGGACCAGGGAGCGAGGGGGGACCTGGGGGTCCCACAGGACTGGGTCCTGCTGCTAAACCCCCGGGTGTCTGGGAAGCCCCCGTGCTGCCCCTTTGGGGGATGCCAGTCTCTGCCCTCCATCTCCTGGCTTTGCGTGTGCTCCAGGAAAATGCTGGGAACTTGCTGGCTTGGTGGATGTGGTGGGAGAGGAGGATGCCGTGGGGCGAGCTCTTCCCACTTCCTAAGGGGAAATCCCAGCACCGGTTCCTGAGGCTGTGAGGAGGCTGAGGGGGGGCAGCAGCCCCTCAGCTCAGCGGGTTGTTACATGTGTGCTCGTTGCAGAGAACATCCCCGAGAAGTGGACGCCAGAGGTGAAGCACTTCTGCCCCAACGTGCCCATCATCCTGGTGGGGAACAAGAAGGACCTGCGGAACGACGAGCACACGCGGCGGGAGCTGGCGAAGATGAAGCAGGTGGGCGCCGCCCTGG